ATCAAATAAGAAATGTATCAAATAATGGAATATAATATTTAAAGTAATATTTAGTATAATATCTAAATGATCAGCATAATCAACATATAATAAGAGTTGTATAGTTTAGTTAAAACTAAATTAGTAAAAATTAAAAATAGATAAAACAAAGTTAGATTTATATAAATAGATCAATAATATTAATTATTATTTTTTTTTGAGTTAAAGTCTCTGTTTATGGAAGTTGATGTTTTTATTCATATATTTGGACATAGGTGCCTTCAGGAGCTCTCTTATATCAAAGGTTACAACTAGCCACATGTGCACTTTTGGTGTCTAATTTAAGTAGTCCATCTATACATTACTATACAGGTTCTATACTAGGTGTCATACCTGCAAACCAATTATGAGTCTTGCCTATTTAAACCCTCTGCATATGTAGTCCATCATGTTTCATAGAAACATCTTTAAGGCTATACTCATTCAAAGTACCTGATGCCTTCAAGTACTCTTAGGACTAGTTTATCCTTGACAGGAAACTTATTAGAACCTTCTGTGTCTTACACATATCTGATTTAGTTTTATGCAATATGCTATTGTTATCTAACACTTGCAATCACAGAGGTTACCTGTTTAATTGCTACATTACACTATTTCTATTTTTGTAAAGTTCACTAGAACCCCAGTACCTATTATCATAATGTTTTTTCCATCATCCCTTACTAACTACTACTCAGAACCGACAGAACTTCTCTAACTTTCAATCCAGATAGCTCAGTATGATATACTTATGTATCCTTTTTTTCTGCTGATTTTGGCAGCCTGGTTGGTTATATGTTTTTCTACACATCTTAACATCTGGTTTATCTACTTATTTTTTTGGAGGTGTTTCATAGACTTCTATCAGTCTAACCATATCATTGAAAGTTTATACTATCTCTTTACTTAGTAATTTACAAGTAGGCTTCTGACTTTTCAGTTTCTTAGTTTATTGCACTTAGTGGTCTTATTATGGATTTGCATCAAAGTCTTATGCAACACTAGTTATTAACATTCCTCTATATACATATAATGTTACATTTGACATAGATGCCCTGAGCTCCCATTCAAGATAGTGTAATTTAAAGTTACAGATATACAAATTCAACTGATCATCAAAAGACAGTTTGTCATAACATAGGTTAATTTCCAAATTTTATCATAAGTAGAATTTGAACTTTAGACCTGCTACTTGGAGGATAACAACCCAACTACTATACTAGGATCATCATCTTTAATAATATCAATTATTAATATAGATCTACAGGTCTGGAACTTTATAAAGATCAGAATTTTTTTAAAAAAAATTAAAAAATTTTACAAAAATAGAATATAGTTTTCAAGAGAAATTTAAAGTATTTTTACTGTATAATTATTAGTTTTAAACTATTTATAATATATAATATATTAAAATAATAACTAGAATAAGTTAAACAATTTTGTTCTATATATTAGTATTTAGAATTAATTTTATTTTTTTTATATTAAAATCAGTTTTAATTAAATTTAATATAAGAAAAATAAAACCAGTTTTAAACTCTACTATATACCAACTATAGTTTATTTAATAAACTTTTAAGTTTTTGTAAAAAAGAAAAAATTACTAAGTTTAATTATATTATAGTAGTAAATATTTATAAAAATATAAAACTAGATCACCTATATATAAAATTTTATTAGAAACAATTTTTTTTTTGTATTAAAGTAACCTCTTTGGTCTTTTAACTTTTTATTAACAATATTTTTGTTAATATAATTCTATAAACTACTACAGAAAAGCATACAATTGGCTAAATGTATAACTTTTCTATATTATCTATTTAAGAAGTCTGCCTAAAGGTTTTTTACCAATTGCTGTACTTAACACCTTTATTTGAATGTTTTACTTTAAACTTTCTAAATCTGCAATATGTATTAACATTACTGAATTATATCCAGATATTCAGATCATTATCTCAATCTTAAAAGTATTTTATTTTTAAGATAAATCTTCAAAATCTTCTATACTCATTTTTATAGCTAATCTAAATATTATTATGACAGAACCAACATTTGTAGTCAGAATTATATCATTTAATTGCTATGTTTATATAGAGTTCACACAGATCTCAGTATTTATTTTATAGTATAACCTCAGTATTTTAGTATATTCTTACCTTTTCACTTGTCTTTTTATCAGATTCTTAATCCAAATAACTTATATAAGACTATAATTAGTTTATTAGTATATCAGATCAGCTCAATATTTTTTTTCTTTAGCTTATTTCAGTAATCTGATTAATGATATCTCTGAGACACTCAATCTAAAAATCTAGAAGTTCTTGCCCATTCAAGTACTATAACTGGATACTATAATCTTAGTATCTATTTTCTCAAATTAGCTTTTATAATAAGGCCATTGAAGATCTGATTATCTCTCTATTCAGGTCTTCTCAAATTAACTTTTTGTTATTTAATTTTAATGAATTTATATAGCTACAAGAATTTATCTAGTATTTGGACCATCTGATTTGTTAGTTTGCATTTCTCTATATAACTAGTTATACAGATACTTTATGACTTGTCAGTCATATTAATACAATCATTATTACAGGTATTCTAACTCAATCATTAGTAACAGTTATCATAATATGAATATTACATAGATGATTATCTAACTTTTTACTATTGATAAAATTTGAACATCCAACTTACCACTTGAAGAGTTAACAATCTGATTACTTCACTATGTCATAACACTCCTGTTAGAAACAATTTTATTTAAATAGTCAAAGTAGATTTACTTAATAAAAATTGAGAAAAGTGTAATTATGTTTAGAAAAAATTTAATACAAGTAATTGTTAAGAAGAGTTAGTGATTTGCATTTGTCTAATTATACATAATATAGAAAAATTAGAATAGTTATTAGAAATTAAAAGTCTATCAAAAAATTAATATGTTTATAATATTAGTTTACTATATTATTAATAAGTTTCTAAAATTAACTAAATTTTTGTAAAAATAGATGCTGAATTAAGATATTATTAAACATATATACTGAACTACTTTTATAGCAATATTAAGAATTTATTAGTAATTATTAGTAACTATTAACATACTAATAGTTTATTTTTATTTTTATTTTTATTTTTTTTTAAATATTAACGGTATACTAATAGTTTATTAATATGCCTTTGTTTAATTTATATAAGTAAAGCATATGAATTTTTTAAAAAAAATAAAACAATAGTTACATCTATCTTTAGTAATTTGTCAATTTAATAAAAATTATGCACAATTATTTGCAAATAGTTTTCAATTTAAAACTCTTTAAAAGGATTGAATTAAATCATTATTAGAATTAGAATTAGAATATGCAAATAAACTGAAAAATGGTACTAATGATGAAACTACCAATGATTTTGGCTTGCATACATTACTTTATTGTCATTTACTAGCAACAAGTCAAGAGGCTTTTCAATAACTAGATTTAAAGACCATGCCAATATGTCTTTATCATTAAAGGAATCTAAACTTCACTTAGTTTCAGATAAGATTGAGCATAAAGATTTAAAGTTGGGTCTTGAAAAAGTATGAGCCAAAAGAACAAAACATTCAATCACTGTATTACAAAACATTCATCCATCAGAATTCGGAGAAGTTGCATCAAATTTCTTTAATAGCTTATTAAATTCATAAATAAATTTATATAATAATCACTATAGTCGCTGTATTTCTGTATTTATTAGTTGCTTGCGAATATATCGGTTATACTGATATTAATTATACATTGATACACTAATTCTATCATATCGATGATGTCGATCTTTTTAATTTTTCACTAATTAATTTTTATATGGGACTAAGTTTTGATTTACTTAGTTGACCGAATACCCCAATGAGCCTGTATACGTATACATAAATATATATACATACACCATTTAATATAAAAAAAAAACTGGCCCTTAACACCAAAAAAAAAATAATAAATAAAAAAAACTGGCGATTTCTTACTACCAAATAATCAGGCCAACCGGGCCATCCGGTTACTCAGTTAATAATCTTATAAACGGGTGAGTAAACCAGAGCTAAAATTTTTAACCTTTACAAGAACTAGATTTAGTAATACTTATCCGGAATTGTTCGGATACCTCGATTACTGGTGCTTGATGTTGCACATGTTCAAGCATGCGTTCGAAATTTAACTATCTAAGGTAAATAAAATACGCCATGGCAATAGGTATGATGCGTATGTAAAAACCTGTGGAAGACTTGATTACATCGATATTAACAGCATATATTTGCTTGTTATTTTTAAACCAACGAAACTTTATTCTTATATGTTTATAAGTTGTGCTGGGTCAACGTAAACCTTTATAAGGAAAGTCAACACGAGGTTGATAATATTTGAAACATTAGCGAGATTATGAAACGAGCTTTTTTTCTCTTTGTGGTCGTTAAATAACATTAATCATTATTCGCGTAGCCGCTTCGCTCATGATATACATTCTAGAAATGTTCTTTTAACAATTTAACATCCTAAAAAAAATCAAAAATGTGAGTTTCGTTTCTAAAAAAGTATCGGCCAAATCAAACATGCGAATTGGGTTCAATATGAAATAGGAATTAATCCTAATTTAATAAACATTGTTCTTCGAAAAGTAAACAAATCATTAATTTTTTAGAGTGGAAATATATGATATTACTTTAATAACCTAGTTAACCTCGAAAAATTTTTTTGAATATAAATCTGACCTGAAAAATGAAAATGCTCTTTTGATCGAAATCCATGATTTTTTAACATACGCGAGGAATGTCTATCTTTGACTAGTTAGCTTTATGAAATTTCGCGATACCTTACGCTCTTTACTTCATACCCTTATCTACCTATTCTTATAAATTATTTCTAATAATTGGAATGTATTTATTTAACTGTATTGTACATATCAACATATAATAAAGTGATAGCGATATTATCCCACGCTTGACAGAATTTATACTAATGGTTAGTAAAATATTCATAAGAAATTTTTGGATTCTGATGTGAGCATTTCAAGTATTAATCATCCTTGCAACAACTAGGATGAATTTAAATGTGATAAAAGGAAAACCTCTGTATCGATTAATCCTTGTTTTATTCGTCTTACAACTTTGATTGATGATCCTCATCCAACATCTGTTGGTTTTCCTTCAATTACAAGATCACCCATTGTCATCAATACTGATTCGCCTGATTCATGTCCATCTCAAACAACACCTCTATCACTCCAAACATCTTTCCCACCCTTCTCAACGCCGACCAATATTTCATCGAGCTCTTCATATTCAATTCCAGAACCTTCGACAGTTATTCCAATCCCATCACTGACCATCACAGATCAAATCATCACACAAATTCCACATCACCAAAATAGCTCGGTCAGAATAGAGAATTATTCGAATTCAAGCCCATTCGATTATGGTTCACCTTATCATATTCCTGCAATATTAGGAACTGCAATTGCAATATTCATGGCTTTGACTTTAATTATTATCATTATTAAAAAAGTTATTTTTATTAATTTTGAAAAAGACTCAATATGTGAGAAACGAGAACGTAAAAGATTCGATCGTAAGTCTTTTGTAGTGCTTGATGATAATGTTGAAAGTGATAATTGGGGCGAAGTGGTAGTTAGTATTGACGAACCTGAGAAAAGCGATCAATTTAGGACTACCGAAGACTGTGCTTATGGTGATATAATAATTATGTTACCTGAACCTATATACAACGGTAAAGGTTAGATTCGTTTATAGAACTGTAATGTTGTAACGTACTGGTTATGAATTATACATCGTTCAGTTAGAACAACACATTTTACGATTTTAGATTTGTCATTTTGTATCTAAACTTGTTCTATATGATAATATAATATATTAATATATATAGCGATAGTAATTTAATAAATGTGGCAGATTAAAATGAAGTTTGTCTTATTTTAATTAGAAATTTATGTTCCATGATAAAATTTTGGGGGTGCATTTTTTTAAAGTCTTTTTGCTTTTTTTTAGGTTAGAATTTTAATAATTTAGTGTTGCAATTTTAGAAAACTAATCAAGTAATACAGTGGCTCTTAAAAAAAATGCGTCACCTGAAAACAAATTTTGATTTCGCATATCTCCTCAACGACGAGTTATTTGAAATAATATTTTTTTATTTAATTAGCAAATACTCATAATATCAATGCTAAATTTTAACGAAATTGAATTTCGCAATCTTCTGCGACGATGCATTTTTGGAAGCCTTAATTAAAATCTAATTATGAGTTTAACTTTGAACAAGCACATTACCAACTGGAGCCATATAATCCCAGTCTAAAGCCATTTATTGTTACGTAGATTTTTAGAATTTAAAAATATTCTTGGGCATTTTAAAAGCGGATAGGGTTTCATCGAGAAAACTTCGTGGTAATTTACTATTGATTTTAATTTTTTGAGCAAGAATTTCAACTAATGCAAATAATTTTAGTCTAAAGTCATTTGATTGCGTTATATAAGTTTTATGATTTAAAATATCCTTAGGCACTAAATTTGGTTAGATTCTTATCGAGGTGTATACAATTTTAACTAAACAAAAAAAATTTAATCACTATTAGATTTTAATTAAGGTTTTCAAAAAATATATTATCAAAATTTGACAAATCATAATGCAATTGAAATTGTATTTTATTATAAATATTACAAGTTCATGTTTTTTTTTTAAATTCAACAGTCTTGAATATAATTACAAGTTAACATCTAAGCTAATAAAACTTACCTGATCTTTAACTTATTAAAGATTTTATTTTTTTTGATCTTAGGTTGGTAGTTATCGATTTTATTGGTACTATTTACTTTACTGTTTTTATTTTTTTTACTTTTATAACTTTACAATAATTATAATCAAAACTTATAGTTAAAATTAATTATTTAATCATTTTGATACATAGTTTGTTTAAGCTATTTAAAATATTTTTTACTATTATGTTTTATTTTTTCTAATTTTATAATATTTTGTTGTATTTTTATTTTTTTTTATTTTTTTATTTTTTTTCAGTTTTTTTTAATCTAATTTATTTATTTATTTATTTATTTTTAATATTAAAATAGCTTTTTTTAGACATTACTTTTATTAATACTTTTTTAAACATGGTATTTGCATATTTGAAACTACTATAGAATAAGAGTACAATTGGTTATACATGTAATTTTTTATATTACCTATTTAAGAAGTTCATTTGAAGGTTTATTATTAATTGTTATACTTAATACTTTAGTTTAGATGTTTAATTTTAAACTTTCTAATTCTGTACTTTTGTATTAACTTTATTAACTTATAAGAATATTTGTTGACACATTTTTATAGTTTAGGTTCTTATCTTAAATCTTAAAACTATTTTATCTTCAAATAGGATCTTTATGTTTATTTTGAGTTCAGTTCAGATTAAACCTAGATTTGAACTGAACTTGAACAATAAATTTTACTAATTTCAAATCTGAACCCAAACTTAAACTCATAATTCCTAAATCTGAACCAGACTTAAATATAGTAATAAATTTGGTCTAGATCAGTTTGAAGTTTATAAACAAGTTCAAGTTTGAATATAAAGTATTTAAAAAAAGTTTGTAATTTAAAGTTTAGCAAACTCAATTTCTGAAAACTTTTTAAAAATTGAGTTCAATAAACTATATCTTGTATTATTATATAAATAGAATTTTAATTTATATATACTTTTCTTATTTAGTCAACATATATACTATATTATATATTAAAAAAATATCTATATTTTATAATTATAATAATGATAAACTTTTTTGTTTTAATATTAAAGATAAGTATTTGTAATCCTGACTTTTATTAATAGTATATTTCAGTTTTGTATTACAATAGTTATAGAAATCAATTATAAGAAGTATATAACTAGTTACTTGTACAACTTTAATTATTATCTAATTTAATTATTATTTAATTTAAATAGTTTGTTTAAAGGTTCTATACTAGTTGTTATATTTAGAACTCACTTGTAAGTTCTCTATTTAAACATTCTGATTTTTATATCCACTTATCTACTTATTCTACCAACTGCTTCAGTTTTTATCAATACAAATAAACTATAATCATTTGATCTTTAAAGCAGTTTAATTATATAAAAAACCTTCAATCTTATATTAAATCTACTAAAACCTTTTGTTATTTAATTTTTAGTTGACCTAATATTACTATAACTAAGATTAATATTTGCAATTAGGTAATTTTTAAACTATTATACTTTTATAGAGTTTATACAACTCTAGTATCCTTCTTTATAACTTTATCAGTATTTTGTATGCTTTTTTAAGTTTTTTTTATACTACTAATCTAGTTATCTTTGCATAGTATAATTTTATTTCAGTTTAACTAATAGTCAGATTGGTGAATTTTTTTATCTAGAGTTCTTATTTATACAGATTATCTTGATCAAGATTTTTACAGATAATATCATCAAAATTTGTATTATCTTTCTATTTAAAATTTTCAAATAAGATTTCTTATAGAGTATATACTTATTAGATTTATTCATATAATATTGTATATTTTTAAAGTTAGTCTTAATACAACTAAAATTACAAAATTATAACCTCAAATATTCTAATTAAATTATTAAAATAAAACTATTTTTTAAAATTCTACTACTAGTAAGATTTGAACTTTGAATCTACTACTTAAAAAATGACAACTTAACTACTATACGTATTAGAATTATTATTAATATTATATAAATAAAACTTTAATTTATATATTTTTCTTTTATTTAGTTAATATACTGTATTGTATATTAAAAAAACATATATTTTATAATTATAAAATAGTACTTATAACCTATACTATTATATAAATAGAACTTTAACTTATATATATACTTTTTATTTATTTAGTTAATATACTATATTGTATATTAAAAATATTAATATATATATTTTATAATTATAATAATAATATTAATTTTTTTTCATTTAAGTAGCTGTACTGGTAGTTTTTTTTATTAAAAAATATTAACATTACTGCTAATACAGTAATTATATAAATATCTTTAACAACTAAGTTCAACATCACCTAGCCACTCTAATAGTATCTAAGTGCAATCTGTTACATTACTTCAAGCAGAAATAAGCTGCTCATCTGACTAAAGTTTATAATAAAAGGGTCTTTTTCCTTTTATGACAAGCTCTAAAATTGTTTTTTGTGCTTCTTTTTTAATTTGTTTTACTTTTTTTTTTACTTTTACTTTTCTTTTTTTTATTATTTGCTAATTTGGTTTTTCTTTTTTACTTAGTGCTTTTTTTTCTTTCTCTCTTCTTCTTTTTATCCTACTCATTATTCTTTCATTTTTTTTTTCATTCAATAATTTTCTTATATCATATTCTTTATACTTGTTTATAAAATATGTTTTAGACCATTCTTGCTATTATGTTTATAAACTGCTGTCTTGATTTTGTACTTAGAAGCTGCCTTAATCTGTCTTGTATTTTTTTTAAAATAAGATCTTTGATTAGTGTTTCTTTTATTTTTACTTTTTCTGCTTTTGTTTTTCCAAAAAGTACTATATATACTATATATGAAGGGTTCTAAACTTTTTCATCTTCTTTTAGCCTCTTCTAGGCTGTTGCAATAGTCACTTTTTGGATTCTTTTTTAAAAATTCCTTTGTTTCTTACAAGTTGCCAGATGTAACTATGTTTCTTTTGTTTTATCTTGGCATATTTGGCACTTCATTGTTGTGTATACATCTGATCTTTTTCTGTTAAGTTCTTCTAAAGTTATAAGTTTATCCATTATATACTTTATAAATGCACTTCTTTTGACACTACTTCTTCTTGTTGTGCAGCATATTCTTTTAGTTATCTTTAGTTTTTTTTTAAAAATATGTTCAATTATAAATTATAATTTCTGTTTTTGGTTCTAATTCTCTAATTGCTTTTATTTTTTTCATTTTGCTTCTATTCTTGCATTCATTATTAACTTAGCAATCTTGCTAATATATCAGTATATTTGTTTTTTTACTCTAAACAGTATTCTATCTTTCTGCAACTGACTTCTTCAGTCTGTATTATCCTTTTACTTGTTGTATTTTTTTTTGCTAGGTTATTAGCTTTATCATTTTATCTATTTTTACTATAGCTTTAATCTTAAAAAACTTTATCTGAATGTTCTTTGTTATAATAAGATTTCCAATTTTTATTATCTATATTGTATTCTTCTCTTTAAGAATCTTATTTCTGTTTATTTGTTCTAAACTTCTACTAATTTTTTTTATTGTGATATTACTATCTGTATATACTTTTATTTGCTTCTCTTTTGGTACTATTAAAATTGCTGCCTATATCACTACTAACTTAGCTATTGTCAACATTTGCCATCCTTCTAGTTTTAATGCTAACTTTTCTTTTGGCTATTCTTATGTTTCATCTTTTTTACCCACTCTATGCTTATATTATTTTTTATTCTCATATCTTCTTTAGACTTTACATTTGCTATTTCATCTATATATATTATGTACTTATTCTTGTTTTTTATTATATTTCTTTTCAGAACTTTTATTATTTTTTAACTAATGTTCTCTTTTAACTTTTGTCATCTGATTACCTTTATCTCTAGATCTTCTATTATTCTTAGTTTTTTAAGTTTTTGTTCTCTAATTACTGATTTGTTTTTCTTTATTGTTTCTGTTATTTGGTCTATTGCTGTTTTGATCTTGTTGCAGTTTTTTTTTATCAAAGTGTTTGAAA